CAGCGGCTGCAGCCATTCACGTCCGTGTTACCCAAGGCTGCCTTCACACTATAACGGCAGAGTTAAGGAGATACACACAGTACATATTTTGGCCTACGAAGCCCAAAATATTTACTATCTGGCCATCTGCTGAAAAATATTGCTAAGTTTTTCCCTAGAATATCAGACGATCTTTGCTGGGTTTGTCAGACAATGTACTAGCAGGATATTAAAAGGGTATTCAGGGCTAGGCGCGGTGGCTCATGCCCGTAATCCCAGCTTTGAGAGGCTGAGGCGGGCGGATCACTTTGGGAGGCGGAGATGGGCGGATCACCTGAGGTCAGGAGTTCGAGACCATCTTGGCCAACATGGCAAAACCTGTCCCCACCAAAAGTACAAAATTAGCTGGGCGTAGTGGTGGGTGCCTGTAATCCCAGCTACTCGGAAGTCTGAGGCAGAGGTTCCAGTGAGCCAAGATCATGCCACTGAACTCCAGCCTGGAGGACAAGAGTGAGACTCCATCTCAATAAATGAATCAATAAATAAGTAGGTACTTAGTCATCTTCTTGAACCTTTTTCCAAGTTTCAGGTAAATTTTTCTTGAAGACTATAGTCAATAATAATTGAATTGTAAACTTAAAAATAAGAGTATAACTGCATTGTTTGTAACTCAAAAGATAAATGCATGAGGGAACAGATATCTCATTTTCCAAGATGTGATTACTGCACACTGCACGTCTGTATCAAAATATCTCATGTACCCCATGTATATAAACACCTGCTCTACAACCACAAAAGTTAAAAAACAGTTTTTCTTAAAAATGACCTCATACCGATTTATATTTTCCTCTTGAATTAATGATTCCTGTAAAAGGGAAATTGGTCTCTGGTGTAGAGACAACTCAGCTAAATAGAATCTTGGCATTTCTACAGTTCAACCACGTACTCCAACAAGTTTACAAAATACAGAGTAACTAAGCCAGTATTTTCATTGATTCAAACCAATGCTCTCTAATTTAAATTCTTCTCCAAAGGAAGGAGTAGAAGGAAGAAAAATTTGCATTCTGAAATCCTGCCTTGAACTTTTCTCACCTCACCCTGTATAACAATACAGGCTCTAGGCCCACAGGCTGTTTTCTATAAAAATATGTCAGAACTCTTTGAGGTGTAATCCTGAGAAAAATTTGAAGCAGCAATCTGGGCCGGGCACAGTGGTTCATGTCTATAATTCCAACTCTTTGGGAGGCTGAGGTGGGAGGATCACCTGAGCCCAGAAGCTGAGCTGAGGCGGGTGGATTGCCTGAGGTCAGGCGTTCAAGACCACCCTGGCCAACATAGTGAAACCCTGTCTTTACTGAAAATACAAAAATTAGCCAGGCATGATGGTGGGACCCTGTAGTCCCAGCTACTGGGGAGGTTGAGGCAGGAGAATTGCTTGAACTCGGGAGGCGGAGGTTGCAGTGAGCCTAGACTGTGCCACTGCACTCCAGCCTGGGCAACAGAGCAAGGCTCCAGCTCAAAAAAAAAAAAAAAAGTTTTTAGTTAGGAGATTAGACAGCTTTTGTTGGAGTTCCAAGCAATGAATGCTACTAACGACCATGAAACCAGTTGAAGAATACAAGCCAGACTTTTTTACCTTGGTCCTTAAGTTTCTTATCATCTCCAGTTTTAAAAATGTTATTCTTACTCAGAGTTTCCTCATAAATACTTCTCAAGTCCTTAAATTAGTAGGACTTTTTCCCAGCCCATTTTCCCAAATCCTTCCTGCACACAAACCTTATTTTCCCACCCACAGACCTTTATTTTAAACTGCCAAATACCCCTGAGTTTAAGAACTTTATTTTTCCTTAACTTCCACAAGCTAGTAATTAATTCTCCTCTAAATGAGGCTGGTGAACAATGAAGAAATTATTATGTTTCACCATCAATGTTTTGCACAAGATGCTGTGATGACTTTGCGGGGGTTTCTGACAGGCAAAGCAGCCCGGAGTGCCTGCGCTACCTGAACTCGGCTGCTGCTAGCCACAGCATTCTCTGTGTGAGGCTGCCACTGTATTCCCCAAGGTGAGCTTTAGTCACAAATGTCAGTTCATAAATAAGAATGGTCTCATCAGATCTTTAGGTACAAGTCGGGCACAGTGGCTCACGCCTGTAATCCCAGCACTTTGGGAAACCGAGGCGGATGGATCAGGAGTTGGAGACCAGCCTGGCCAACATGGTGAAACCTCATCTCTACTAAAAATGCAAAATTTAGCTGGACGTGGTGGCAGGTGCCTGTAATCCCAGCTACTCGGGAGGCTGAGGCAGGAGAATCGCTTGAACCCGGGAGGTGGAGGTTGCAGTGAGCCAACTCCAGTCACTGCACTCCAGTCTGGGCAATGAGAGTGAAACTCCATCTCAAAAAAAGAAAAAAAAAAAACGTTTATATACCCCAGACTGTGTACATTCAAGGTGAGAAAATGATGTCATCTTTCTTCAAACACAGGGCAATTTTTCTAAAGGCATCTTTTTGCACCAACACAACCTAAGGGGATTTTTTTCTCTCAGTTCAATTGCTAGATCACAAACTTTCCAGAGAAACAACTGCCTTATGAGAGCAAATATATGGGGAGGGGGTGGAGAAGGCATCCTCAGGCTGCCTTATTAACGATGAAAATGTGGAGGTCACAGTGGACGGCTCTGCTGCCCTCTACTGGCCAGGTCGAGCATCATCAGCAACAGTAACAGTCGGCCGCCCTGGTTTGCCCTTTGCGGTTTAATTAGGCACTGCTCTTCCCAAGGAAAACCTGGTGAGAAAGGCAGGAGGCCCCCACCATGGAACCTCAGATCCGGTAGGAACACATAATGCAACATGGGCACATTACACAACCCAAGGGTTGCCATTCCTGTGGAATACATCAACAGAACCCTTACGCTTCGGCAATCCTGCAGCCCCACTGGGTAATTTAATAAATGCCCCAGAATGGTAAGTGATCTTTCCAGGGTCATCAGACCCGTGACGGACCAGAAGCAGGACTTGCTGCCTGGCTCAAGGGAGCGGCAAAGGGAAACAAGATTCCTACAAAGGAAAGCAGGTTCCGACTGGGCTGGCCCCATTGAGAAGAGCCAAGTCAGAACACGTATCCACATCCTTTTCTACGACTCAACTATCCCACTGTCTAGCCGTAACTCACTGTGCCACGTACTCACTGCAGGTACATACCATCAGATGGGAGAGACATGCCTACTCCGGAGGCGGATGAGCAATTAGGGAGATTCAGACAAGTAAACCAGCAATTACAATATAATGTTGTGGAAGTCTGGGCCAGGTGTGGTGGCTTATGCCTGTAACCCCAGCACTTTGGGAGGCTGAGATGGGAGGATCACTTGAGCTCAGGAGTTCAAAATCAGCCCAGGCAACATAGTGAGACCTCATCTTTATTTAAGTTCGAAGAAGTCCTGATTGTTTCTGAACACAGAGTGGGAGGGGCACATGACCCAGAGTGAGAGGTGGGAAAATCAAGGATGGCTTCCTGAAGGCCGTGACATCCGAGAGAGAACAAAAGGATGTAAAGGATATATAGATATTAGCCAGGTGAGGTAGGCATGGAAACCATTCCAGGCAAGTGAAATAACAGGTAGGAAAAAGCAGAGATGAGACAGCCTGCAGCATTCTAGGAGCTAGAACATAGGGTACAGGGTGGGTAGATGCCCAGGCAGCAAAGCCAGAGAGAAAGACAGGCTCCAGACTACACAGAGCCTTGCAGTCCGGGAAAGGAGTCCAGACCATAGCCTGGAGGCCATGAGGAGCTGCTGGGGGTTTAAGCAGAGGGGAGACATTAATAGACATGGGTTTGGGTTTCCTCCATCACACTAGGCTCTGAGGAGGGTCCCCCAAGGGCAGTCATCCTTCGTGTCCCCAAGGAACGACAGTTCCTCAACTTAACAAAATGATATCAAATAGTTGGATCTATGCTTACTACTGTATCATTTACTTCTATTTATTGGGTGTCTATCACCCTAATTGAATGCAAGCTCCACAAAGGCAGGGATTTTCTCTTTCCACTGCTAAATCCTCAGTATTGTTTTGTTTTGTTTTGGGATGGAGCCTCGAGCTGTCGTCCAGGCTGGAGTGCAATGTGGCAATGTTAACTCACTGCAACCTCCGCTTCTCTCCTGTCTCAGCCTACTGAGTAGCTGAGACTACAGGTGCACACCACCAGGCCCAGGTCATTTTTGTATTTTTAGTAGAGATGCGGTTTCACCATATTGGTCACGCTGTTCTCAAACCCCTGACCTTAGGTGATCCACCTGCCTCAGCCTCCCAAAGTGCTGGGATTACAGGCATGAACTACTGCACCCAGCCTAAATCCTCAGTTTTCAGATCTATGCCTGGAACAAAATAGGTGTTCAAATAATAGCTGAATAAATCGCCATTCACTTCCTATAAAGTTTTTTTTTTTTCTTTTTTGAGAGAGTGTCTTGCTCTGTCCCCCAGGCTAAAGTGCAGTGGCACGATCTCAGCTCACTGCAACCTCCGCCTCCCAAGCTCAAGCGATTCTCATGCCTCAGCCTCCTGAGTAGCTGGGATTATAGGTGTGCACGACCACGCCCAGCTAATTTTTATAGTTTTAGTAGAGATGGGGTTTCGCCATGCTGGCCAGGCTGGTCTCGAACTCCTGGCCTCAAGTGATTCCCTCGCCTCGGCCTCCCAAAGTGCTGGGATTACAGGTGTGAACCACCACATCTGGTCACAGTTTTGTATTTTAAAGAATAGACACAGTATCTTTATTTACTGTGTGCAAGGACACACGGAAAGCAGGGCAGAAAACAAGATGGTTCTGCCTTTGAGGAGCTGATGTTTACTAAATGCGCATCTGCTGCTGCATACTTTATGTGGCTTCTCCTAGGGAAGTATTGTTCCCATTTTATAGGTGAGAAAACTGAGGCTCCGAGAAGAAATTTGACCAAGGATCCACAGATAGTAAGTGGCAAGGCTGGAATTCAAAACCAGGCCTGTCTGACTGACCGCAGCCTCCCACCTGGCTCTGGGCAACAACCATGTGACTGGCAGCCACCAGAGGAAACACGAAGGCGGCTGAAATGGAGCGTAAAGCACAATCGGCAAACGTTTTTTGGAAAAGAAGAAGGCATCTGGAAGGCTCACAGGATGTGAAAATGTTTAAAGTGAAAGGGAAGAGCATTCCTGCAGAGGGGCGGCCAGCACAACGGCCTGGACACAGACGTGCCACCCAGGGAAAAGCCGACAAGGCTGAGTTCACTTAGCTCCTTGTTCACGACACGTAAGGCCAGATCAGTGTTATGCTGGTTGAGAAATATGAGGCACTTCTCACCTATGGGATCGGCAAAAATTTAAAAGTTCCACAATCCTGTTGGTGAGGCTGTGGAGAAACAGGCCTCTCAACTCACTGCTGATAGGAGTGCCAAAGGCATGAGTGCCACAGAGAAGTCTGGAGGTGGCCACCAAAATGAGATGTATTTACCCTTGATCCTGCAACCCCAGTTCTGGGATCTAACCGACAGACACAGCTGCACAAAGAAGCATGGCACTTGAACAGGCTCCCTCAGAGCACAGTTAGCTTGTCTATTTATTTATTGAGACGGAGTCTCCCTCTGCCACCCAGGCTGGAGTGCAGTGGCGCAGTATCAGCTGACTACAATCTCTGCCTCCTGGGTTCAAGTGATTCTCCTGCCTCAGCTTCCTGAATAGGGACTAAAGGCGCATGCCACCATGGATGGCTAATTTATATATATATATATATATATATATATATATATATATATATATATATATTTTGAGACGGAGTTTCGCTCTTGTTACCCAGGCTGGAGTGCAATGGCACGATTTCGGCTCACCGCAACCTCCGCCTCCTGGGTTCAGGCAATTCTCCTGCCTCAGCCTCCTGAGTAGCTGGGATTACAGGCATGCGCCACCATGCCCAGCTAATTTTTTGTATTTTTAGTAGAGACGGGGTTTCACCATGTTGACCAGGATGGTCTCGATCTCTTGACCTCGTGATCCACCCGCCTCAGCCTCCCAAAGTGCTGGGATTACAGGCTTGAGCCACCGTGCCCGGCTAATTTTTGTATTTTTAGTAGAAACGGGGTTTCACCATGTTGGCCAGGCTGGTCTCGAACTCCTGACCTCAGGTGATCCACCCACCTTGGCCTCCCAAAGTGCTGGGATTACAAGTGTGAACCACCATGACAGCCTGTTTATTTCTTGAGACAGAGTCTCGTTCTGTTGCCCAGGCTGGAGTGCAGTGGCACAATTTCGGCTCACTGCAACTTCTGCCTCCCCAATTCAAGCAATTCTCCCACCTCAGCCTCCAAAGTAGCTGGGATTATAGGTGTGCACTATGGCTGGCTAATTTTTGTATTTTTATTAGAGATGGGGTTTTGCCATGTTGGCCAGGCTGGTCTCGAATTCCTGACTTCAAGTGAGCCACCCGCTTCAGCCTCCCAAAGTGTGGGTGTTACAGGAGTCAGCCACTGCTCCTGGCCTGAGCACAGTTTAGTAGCTACAGATTGGAAACAAGTATCCAATCAACCATGGTGGACAGATTCAATCAATGATGGCGCTTCCACACTGTGGACTGCTACACAGCTGCCAGTGAGGGCAGCCTCCAGTGATTCAGAGATCTCTAGGATATCTATACATGTATGCTCATGCATATATGCACATATATGCCCACATACATCATATACTTTGGGACACATGTATCAGGATATGGATAGATGTCTATCAGGAAATGGATATATATCTATTAGGAGATGGATATATATCTATCAGGATATATGCATATCAGGAAGAGGAGCTATGTATATAGATCACTACTATTTACTCAAGGAAAAGGGTGAAAATTAAAATATATGTTCATATTTGCCTTTATTTGCACAAAGCAGTGGTTCTCAACTACAGGTGATTTTGCCCCTCACAGAGCATTTGGCAACATCTGGAGGCATTTTTGATCGCCAAGATCAGGTCAGGGGGTTGCTACTACTGGCGTCTAGTAGGTAGAGTTCAGGAATGCCACAAGGCCTCCCACGGCGTGCACCCCAGTCCCCTCCAGCAGGGAATTGCCCAGCCAGAAGGCCAACAGTGCCCAGCCTGAGAAACCCTGGCCTAAACGTTCAACAGTATCCTCTGTTTATCCAAAGAAAGAGAAATAAGAAACCTAAAGTTGTCATATGTAAGAGGTAGGGTTCATGGTAGGAAGGAGAGGAGAGCAAGATTTCTGTGCACAGCTTTCATACATTTGAGCCACATAAATGGATTCCCTAGTCTATGCCTATTTGAAAACTGAGTTTAATTGAGCAAAGAGAAACCCAAAGTTGCAACATATGGGAAACAGGAGAGGCTTTAGATCAAGATTCAGCTGGGTTTCCAGAAACTCACAAAGTGTCCTTGTCTCTTGGCCTCCCGTCTTCCTATCTGTGAGGCATCTATACGAGAAGAGCTCAAGCTCCCTTTGAAATCTCCAATTTCGCAATCTCCTCTGATTTCAAGCTGCCCTGCATGATGAAAGGGACGGACGATCCAAGGTGGCATGGGCTGAATGTGGGCGGCAGATATTTCTACCACACACGAACTCAAGCTCATGAATACTCAGATGCTTCTGAACGTTTTCTCCGATAATCTCTCCTTGAAAGACACAAAACATTCTGTTTCCAGGCCAGGTTGTTAAAACTCAAACCACAAAGTCGATCTGGATAGAAGGTAATGAGAGTTATAGATCTGCCGAAGAGTTCAAGTAGATACAATCTTACCTAATTTACTTTTTCAACTTCTAAGAAAATATTTACTTTCCTCTATGCAAGTTTTTTAATTACCAAGTAATAAAAAACAACAGTAATACACGGCCATAAAACTAGTCGAGCCTAGTTATACAGAGTGGCAGGAAAGGAATCCCCCTCTAATAATACATTCTAGGAACTAGGTTTAAGGAGCCAGGGCTTGGGACACAGCCATACATTACCTAGATCACAGGCTTAACACACCATGTACCAGGCAGGGGCTGGGTATCTCAGGGTTTCTAGTGGAAAAACGGCAATTCAAAATACAGGTTTCCAGATTCATTGCTTTTTCTGGATTTCCCTGTGACCATGCCAGAGTGGCTACTACTCATCCCTGTATTACAGCTTGGTAGAATGCAGTCTGAACTGACAACCAGCCACCTGCTTCACTTTCCAGCTATGTAGCTTTGGATAAGTTACTTAACATTTCTGAGCCTCAACTTCCTCATTTATATAAGGGAGAAATTATCTCATGGGATGGTTTTTTGTTTTTTGTTTTCTTGTTTTTTAAGATGGGGTTTCACCATAATGGCCAGGCTGGTCTTGAACTCCTGACCTCAGGTGATCCATCCACCTCGGCCTCCCAAAGTGCTAGGATTACAGGCGTGAGCCACCGCACCCAGCCAGGATTGTTTTGAGGGGAGTAAGTGCCTAATGACTTGTCAACAGTTGACCTTCAATAAATTTTCTTCTCTACTCAAACTCACCTTTGCCTCTCATCTCCCATTTATCCTATACATTGGTGGTGATGAAATCTTGAAAACAAAATTGGCCAGGCACAGTGGCTCATGCCTGTAATCACAGCACTGTGGGAGGCGGAGGCGGGTGGATTGCTTGAGCTCCAGAGTCCAAGACCAGCCTGGGCAACGTGGCGAAACCCCGTGTCTAGAAAAAATACAAAAATGAGCCAGGCGTGGTCACACACACCTGCTACGTGGGAGGCTGAGGCGCGAGGATCACGTTAGCCCAGGAAGTCAAGGCTGTAGTGAGCCAAGATTGCACCACTGCACTCCAGCCCCAAACGACAGAGCAAGACCTTGTCTCAAATGAATAAAATAAAATCTACATCCCATCCCACTCCTACTCAAGCTTCTGATGGCCTACTTTAGTATTTCTCTATCTTGAATAGTGCATGAGCCTTGTTAAACTGAAAATAATTCTTTTTTTCCTGGTAACTCACAGAACAAAAACTGAAAATAATTATTAAGGCAACCCGGTGATGGCCAAGTCATGGAATGTCAGTATGAACAAAAAGCTACATGTCTACCTTTTGAGATGGAGTTTCGCTCTTGTTACCCAGGTTGGAGTGCAATGGCATGATCTCGGCTCACCGCAACCTCCGCCTCCCGGGTTCAGGCAATTCTCCTGCCTCAGCCTCCTGAGTAGCTGGGATTACAGGCATGAGCCACCATACCCAGCTAATTTTTTGTATTTTTAGTAGAGACGAGGTTTCACCATGTTGACCAGGATGGTCTCGATCTCTTGACCTCGTGACCCACCCGCCTCAGCCTCCCAAAGTGCTGGGATTACAGGCTTGAGCCACGGCGCCCGGCCCTCTATCTTTTACTTATAGTTCCTCTGCACCAATAAAACCAAACCAAATTTGCAAATTAAACAGAATACAAAACCACAGACCTAATGAAATTCAAGCCAACATTATCTCTATGAAATTAACCAGTTTGCAACTCAAATATGGCACTGACAGAAGCCACATAGGCTCTTTTATGATGTCCATGTCCTCTAACATGTGACAATAACATATCCTATGTAATTTTTTGACCATTTTATATTAGCTGCTGCAAGCTTTGCTAGACTATGAGATTAGTTGGTCTTCACTTGGTCTAACCAGATGCTTACATAATCAATCTGCCTTGTTCCTCTGTCACTAGCCCATGACAAATGATTATAACTCGGTATAAATGTGACTGTAAACACAAACCCAAGTGTCTATCCTGCAATCACCCAGAGGCCCTTGAGCAAATTTTAAATTCTCGAATTTGCTTGTATAACACAAAAATTTGTTTTTAATACTTGAAAACACAAACACTGGCCCTAGCCTGAGAAACAGCAGCATGTTGGATCAGGTCTAAACTCCATGTTCTGGCACCAAAGTCCTCCAAAGCTGGCCTTGCATTACCTGTTTTACATATAACACATTTTAGAAACAGCTTAATATACATGTATATTATCTATACTCACAAAATTGTGATTTTGAATTATAATTATATTGAATGTGTTTATTTGGGAACAAAGTGATATCCCATTCATGAACATGGTATAGCTTTCCATTTATTTAGATCTTTATCTTTCAACGAAGTTTCAAAGGTTTGCTCCATAAAGGTCATATATATAGTAGGTTTTAGAAATTATATTTGCAAACTGTTTGTATACAGAAGTGGAATTGCCTTTTGTATTACGATGTTATATTTAGCAATCCTGCTGAACACTATTTTGTAAATCTCTTGGATTTTTGTTGCAGATAATACTGACGATGAATAATGACTGTTCCTTCTCTTTTCTTTCTTTCTTTCTTTTTTTTTTTGAGACAGGGTCTCACTCTGTCATCCAGGCTGCAGTACAATGGCACAATCTCAGCTCACTAGAGCCTTGACCAGGCTCACGTGATCCTCCCACCTCAGCCTCCCAAGTAGCTGGGATTGTACCACCATACCTGACTAATTTTTGTATATTTCACAAAGATGGGGTTTTCACCATGTTGCCCAGGCCGGCCTCAAACTTCTGAGCTCAAGCAATCCACCTGCCTCAGCCTCCTAAAGTGCTGGGATTACAGGCTTGAGCCACCGCACCCGGCCCTTATATTTCTTGTTCTTGTCTTACTACACCGATTAGGGCCTGCAGTACTATGATGAATATAAATGGTAATAGCATCCTTATGCTCCTAATTTTAAAAAAGAAAGCTGCTAATGTTTCATCATTAAGTATGGTATTTGCTGGAGGTTTGGATGGCTGGTCCCACATTTTCTATGCATCTATTTCAGTTACACTGGCTTTCTTGTTAATATACTAGCATACTGACATCATTGCTAATATTATTACCTCAGATAATATTTCAGTTGTTGTGCTCAATACTTGCTGTATATTCTTTCCCTTCTGCTAGCCTGGAAAGATATCTTCTTTCTTTCTGCTCTCCATCCTTCAAGTCTCCTTTCTGATTCCACTTCCTCCAGGAAGCCCTCTCTGACACCATGGCTCTCTGAAGCTTCCTGACTTTCTCCTCATTTGGGGGGAAAGCCATCAGAGTTTGTCTTAGAGGCCAGAGAGTATCCAGCAGAGTTTATTCTCAAACTTGAGGCCCCAAAGACTGTTCTGTTTAGCACACATTTTTAAAGAGAAGGGTAATCAGGAGATTTTAAATTAAATTAAAATTCAGATGTAGGGCATCTCTGAAAAATTGGATCTGTTATTATTGGGTCTCTCACTTCTTTATGGGCACAATTAGCTGCAGCCAAGCAGCAGCACCCTCTTCAGACGGAAGTTACAATCTCTGTTCATCACAAACCCACTGTTCCCTGCGGCCCTTTGCTTATATATTCTGCCTTCCTAGCTTGTATGCAGTTGATTTTGTGACTGCTGGTATCAAAGAAACTGCAAGACACGAAGCATCAGACTCTGGCTTTGCCACGTGCTGGTATAATCTCAGGCAAGTCACTAAATCTTTGAGCCTTTTCATGGTTTCCTCACCATGCACATGAGCTAATGGCTTGTACCTGAGCTGATTCATAGTTGTAGGAAATTCACAGATGAGATAGCCCACTGGAAACCAGAAATTGCTTCAGAAATGACAAGCTGTATAGCACAGTCAACGCAGTGAGACCCCATCGCTACAAAAAAGTTTTGAAAAAATTAGCTGGGTGTGGTGGGTGCCTGTAGTACCAGCTACTTGGGAGGCCGAGGTGGGAGGATCACTTGAGTCCGGGAGTTCAAGGTTACAGTGGGCTATCATGTCACTGAACTCAGATCTGGTTTTGAGGGAACATGAACACTGTCACCAAAATATATATTTCCACAGCTTCTTTGTGTACCTGATGGCCGGCAGCGTGGAGAAGGAGCTTGCCCAGAATGACAGTGCCCGCCACAGTGCACAAACTATGGCCCGCAGGCCACATCCAACCCACTAACCCATAAGCTAAGAAAGGCTTTAATATATTGAAATGGTTGGAAAGAATTCCAATTTCAGGTTCATAAAAAAAAAAAAAAAAAAAAAAAAAAATTTTGTTTTCAATTTGCAATTTAAAAGATTTAAGTTGCATTTGTACACACACCACACTCATTCATTTACGATTGTCTCTGGCTGCGTTTGTGCCACAGTGGCAGAGGTGGAGAGCTACAACAGAGACCGCACGCTCTGCCAGGCCTGAGCCACTGCTATCTAGCCCTCGACAGGAAAAGTCTGCTGCCTCCTGGAGTTGAGTGTTTGCTGTGTAGCAGGCCCTGAGCGTTACCTGCACTACACCCATTTAATCCTCCCAGTGTCCTGAGAGGAAGGCATTGACCTCACTGCAGACCGCCTGAGAGAATTAAAGTCTCCTGTGTCCGCAATTATGCTTTCATCACACATCTGCCTTCAAAACATGGTGCCACGCACTGCGCTAGGAGACAGAGAATTTAGCAGTGAACAAAACAGACTCAGCTTCTGCTTTCTCCTGGGGGAGAAAGGTGATGAGCAAATAGGTAGTTAAGAATTATGTTAAATGCAGCCGGGCGTGGTGGTCACACCTGTAATCCAAGCACTTTGGAGACCAAGGCGGGCAGATCACCTGAGGTCGAGAGTTCACGACCAGCCTGACCAACATGGTGAAACCCTGTCTTTAAAAAAGAAAAGAAAAGAAAAGAAAAAAAGAATTATGTTAAATGCTAGGAGAAAAAAAAGTCACCTCTCAGCTGGGGTAATGGGGATTCAGCCCAACTCTGTTGCCAATGCCCTGCCTTTTAATTTTGAATTAATTACAGACTCATAAACAGTGCAGAGAGGTCTCATACATTCATCACCCAGCTTATCTCATGAGTGGCACCTTACGTAATTACAGTACTTTATCCCAACCAGGAAACCAATGTGAGCACAATTCACTTCACATAGGTATCACCCACTTTTACATGAACTACTACCATTATTTATTATTATGTTTCGAATCTCACTCTGTCACCCAGGCTGAAGTGCAGTGGCGTCATCTCGGCTCACTGCAACCTCCGCCTCCCAGGTTCAAGCAATTTTCATGTGTCAGCCTCCTGAGTAGGTGAAACTACAGGTGTGTGCCAACACACCTGGTTGCTTTTTGTATTTTTAGTAGAGACAGGGGTTTCACCATGTTGCCCAGGCTGGTCTCAAACTCCTGGCCTCAAATGATCCACTCTCCTCAGCCTCCCAAAGTGCTGGGATTCCAGGCATGAGCCACTGCACCCAGCTGTACTATTATTTTCTGTGGCATATTTCTGTGTATAATTCTATGCAAGGCCCCTGCTTTTTACTACTATATTACATAATTCCAACTTGAACTATCTCTAGCATGCACCCCAAGTAGCCCTGAAAGCAGTAACATTTAGGGACAGTTCGTGGCCCAGGTCATACGACGAGAAGGTGTGGACCTTGATCACCTTCTCTGGGGCCTCTCATACTCTGCACTAAACTGCTTGTCAAAGTCAAGACTTCAACTTTCCCCCTTACAAGGAAAGACACATGAATTCTGTGTCTGCATTTTTCC